GAGCCTGGAGAATCTCGATATGGCTGACGGCGGACAGCGGTAACACACAGCAAAAGCGGAACCATCCGAGTGAGCACCCCTCATCATCCTTCACCTCCCTACTGGCCCGCCCTCTCACCCTGATTCATCCCTGCACCTTGTCCCCCCCCCCAAGGGGGACGAATAATGACATGAACATAAAAACTCAGAGGTCCGCACGGATTTCTCGGATTCGCGCTGGACCCTCCCGTCTTGGCGCGCGGAGCGCGCCAGGGGCGGCGCCGGAGGCACCGACAAGGGGGCCCAGCGCGGATCCGAGAAATCCGCGCGGACCTCTGAGCCTTTATGTTTATGTCATTCGTTCCCCTACCACGAACATTAGGTCGGGCCTGTCCCCCGACAGGGGGCTTTCGGACGTTTTTTGTGTGTGTGTGTGTGTGTGTGTGTGTGTGTGTGTGTGTGTGTGTGTGTGTGTGTGTGTGTGTGTGTGTGTGTGTGTGTGTGTTTTTTTATTATTATATATATGTATATATATATACGAATAATGATAATACTACTACTACTAATAATACTACTACTACTACTACTAATAATAATAATAATAATAATAATACTAATAATACTAATACTAATAATAATACTACTAATAATAATATTAACAATAATAATAATAGTAATAATAATACTAATAATAATATATAAAATAAAATAAGATGAAATAAAATAAACATTGGAAAAATTGTCGAACATATGCCCCAAAATAATTAAAAAATGACCCCAGACTATTTTTTGACTATTTTGGGATATCCTCCCTGTAGAGGGACAGGCCCGACGTACCACGAACATTCACCTACCACCTCGATGTTGCTCTTGTGGGAGGAGGGTGCGGGGAGGGGGGGGGGGCCTCGTTGGACAGGGCGGGGATGAGCGGCCGCCGGCGCTGGCCGCCCCTGGCTGCTGTGGTTAGGTCGGGCGTGTCCCCCTACAGGGGGATTTGGGGCGAAAATTCGAAAATACCAGAAAAATGCTCCCCAAATGCAGAAAAAATCAAAAAATAGTCCCCAGACTATTTTTTGACTATTTTTGAACATCCTCTCTGTAAAGGGACAGGCCCGGCATGATATTATGGCCAGGGGGGCGTCGGGGAGAACGCGCGGCCTCACCCAGAACCGCGGCACCCACTGCTGGAAGCCAGCAAGCGGCTCTGCCTCTCTGGACTGCCTCCCTCCGTCCATGCCCGAGCAGACTTAGGAGAAAAGTCGCTACGCGTGCTGCTTGCGACCAGCACTTGTTCCGTCGCCAGCGCCGGCGGGTGCTGGCGCGGGTGTCGTTTCTGGCGGGCCGCGCTGGGCGCGAAGTTTGCAAAACCCAGATACGCCCACGCCGATTCCTCCTCGCCACTCCACCTATTTGCGCCAGCCCTTTGCCGCCTTTGCCCACTCTCGCCACGCCGCCAGCCAGCACAGCAGGTCCCTCCTCCTCCCCTTTCTCCGCGGTTGAGCTATAGTCACAGACCTCCGTCGTTCGCTGCTTGGTCGCGCCTCCCCACGCCTCCCAGGTATGCCGAAATCCGTCATCTCGGCGCCACCCTTCCTTGGCGGCGCGCACAAGGGGGTGGAGGGAGGGGGGAGGGCTCCTTGGAAGGAGGCTGCTTCTTAGAAGGCGCCGGCCTCACATCTATAGAGAAGGCCCGTGGCTGACTCTGCGCGTGGCTGACTTCCGACCTTCCAACCCAGACCCCCGACGTAATGATTTTTTCATTACGTCGACCCCCAGAGGTCCCGACCCTTTCCCCATGACCGGCTTTGCATCCTGAGTCGTTTTTTGACGCTCCCGAGGCCCGGTGAGGGCCCCCAGAGGCCGAAAATTAGGAAAAACCTCCCGTCATGATTTTTTCATTACTCGAGGGGGTCTGGGAAGACTGGCGCGTGGTCGGGCATCCAGGCCAGGCCGCGCGTGGTGGCACGGCGAGCTGCCATTTCGGCGCCGGCACCGCCCCGGGCCGTGGCGAGGGGCGCCCGCGCACCTCTCAGCACCACCCACCGCCCAGCGCCGCCGTTGCCGCACAGCCTCCACTCAAGGGGAACTGGGACACACAAATAAATACACACCAATAAAAATATCCCCCATATTTTTCTATATTTTCTGGGTTTTTGTCTTCCCCACCACTTCCCATATTTTCCCATATTTTCTGGGAATCGCCGATTAATTGTGTCTGTGTTTTTTCCCCTCCTGATCCACTTCCTCCTCCTCCTCCTGGCCAGAGCTTGTGTCGCAGGCCTCCCGTCGTCCTCGCCGCTCCGTCGTCCCCCTCCCCTCCAGAAGCATGACGGGGCCTCTCGTGCCCCTGCCCCTGGAGGGTCGCGTTATTTTTTGAGCTATCGAATATATAATGGAGCATTGCTGGCGAAACTTTGAATGCCGCATCAAATCGTAAATACCTGTATCGGCACTGGCCATCGCAATTTTCACGTCTGCTCGTGTCTGAACCAATGCAAGTTTTATCATTGCCTCCATATCCACTCTGTCTTGCCCTGGCGTATCCTCAACAAGCTCATTCTGTCCCGCCCGGCCCAGCGGCGAATGCCGCTGGGGGGGCGGGCGGGGGGGGCGACGCCCCGCGGCACCAGAGCCCGCATCCTTGAAGGCCTTGGAGGAGGAGGGAGGGAACAGGAGGGACAATGAGCTCGATGAGGAGGGAAGGAAGAGAAGGAAGGAGAGAGAGAGGGAAGGATGGAGGGAATAGGAGGGAGGAGGCTGAGAAGGATGAGGGAAGATGGGGGATGGAGGGGGGGGAAGGGGGGGGGGAAGAAGCAAAGCAATGAAAAAGAGGATGAGATCATACCCACCATGCGCCGAAGCTTCTCGGGAGAGGGCGTGCGGAGGGGGGGGGGGGGGGGCAACGCACATCAACCCATCAACTCATCATCATCATTACCATCACCATCACCATCACCATCATCATCCTCATCCTCATCCTCATCCTCATCATCAGCATCATCATCTTCCGGCTCTCCTGACATATGATTCCACATCCTGAGGAGAGAGACCTCCCCCTACGCCTCCTCCCCCTCCTCCTCCTCCTCCTCCTCCTCCTCCTCCTCCTCCTCCTCCTCCTCCTCCTCCTCCTCCTCCTCCAGGAGGAGGGGCCGGTCGGCAACACGTAAGAGTCACCCCAGCCAAAAGTGGCCTTAGCTGCACGGCCCGTCGATCGCTGCATGCAGTCCGACCCTGGCGCCCTGCGTGTTTGAAGGGGCCCCAGGACACAAATAAATACACACAAATAAACAAAATCCCATATTTTCCCATATTTTCTGGGTTTCTGTCTTCCCCCCCACTTCCCATATTTTCCCATATTTTCCTGGGAGTCGACGATGAATTGTGTCTGTGTGTTTTTTTCCCTCCTGAGTGTTCGGGTCCGGCTCCCGGGCACCCCCCAAGGTCACTCCGGCAAGGGGCCACTTCTGTCGGATAGCCGACATCCGTGCAAACCGAAGCCGCTCCTGGTCGGCCCAAGTCCGACCTCGAGGTTATAGGACAGCGGGTCGAGATTCGAAGAACGTTCGGGAGTTTCTGGCTGTTCTTCCAGAGGCCTCCGCGGGGCCCACGCGGGGGCCTCCAGAGACCTAGGGGTGCCGCTGCCTCCAGCCGCTGCGCAAACACCCCCCAACACACAAGGACACACACACACACTCACAAACTCAAACACACACCACACACACACACACACGCACGCAAAACACACAAACACAAACACCAAGATCAACACCAACACAGCCACAGCCACAATCACACTCACACTCACAATCACGCACGCACGAAAGCACGAACGTACGCGCCACACACATACACACACACACACCACGCGCCACACACATACAAACACACACACACACGCACCACACACACGCACACGCACACGCAAACACAACTATGCGCACACACACACACACACACACACACACACCCACACAAACCCACACACACACACACCCACGCACACCCACGCACACCCACGCACACCCACGCACACACACACACACACACCCACACACACACACACACCCACACACACCCACACACACCCACGCACACCCACGCACACCCACACACACACACACACACCACACACACACACACACCCACACACACACACACACACATACACACACACACACCCACACACACCCACACACACCCACGCACACCCACGCACACCCACACCCACACCCACACCCACACCCACACCCACACCCACACACACACACACACACACACACACACACACACACACACACACACACACACACACACACGCACCAGCAGCGAGGTGACGACCGTCGCGATGCGCCAAGGCGGGTGACGCTTCGGCGAAGAACCACTTGGCGTAGCAGATCGGTGCACTGGAGAGGACAGTGACGTGCATAAAAACAGCAGAAGCGGATATGCACGCGGAATGAGCCGAAGCACTCGTGCAAGGCAGCGCAACAAAAGCAAGCAAGAGCAAAACGGACGCGCGAGAAGCGTGGCGGGTGGCCTTGTGTGGGCTCCTAGGGTTGATGGACAACATCCTGTACCTTTTTCCACGATTTTTGTGTTCGCCCCCCGGGGCTCTAATTTAATATTGGCGGGCTGTGGCGCGACGTGTCGATCTGCCGACTGGCCGAAATCCTGCACCCCGCGGGCGCAGCCAATCGACTTTGAATCGGAGGCAGGGGGCGCGTGGAAATTTGCGCCGTCGCCCTGGTTGCGCGGGTGGTGCAAGATTTTGTCCGTCAACCGTACGGCCCGAAACGGGCTCCTGGAGGATGTTCATGGAGGCCAGCAAAAAATACCCGATCCCGCTGCTCCACGAACCCATGCTAGGGCGCCTTCTGACCAGAATTTCGAGGGGAAAGAAGCTGTGGCGACGAGGAGAATGAGGCCAGTATCGGTACCTTCCCCTCCTCTAATGCAACCTCGCACGCCCGCGTCGTGGTCGTCGTGGTCGTCGTCGTCGTCGGCGTCGTCGTCGTCGCAACCAGGGAGGAGGATAAAGCAGGGCGGATGAGGAGGAGGAGACGCGCTCAACACGCGCCGAGGGGTCGGCGCCAGCGTGCTCACAGGTGGCGTCCTACCTGGCCCGCTTCTTCGAGAACTGGCGCCAGTTGTGGTGCCCGCGGATCTCCGCCCACTGCCTCTTGTAGTCGTCCTCTGCCTCGTCGTCGTCGTCGTCGCTGTCCTTTCGGATGAAGGGGGCAACCCAACGTACCACCCCCACTCCCGGCACATCCGGGCTCTCAAGAAGGGGTCTGATTTTTATGTTTTTCTCTGCAAGCTTCGCAGACTGGTATTGTAGGGGCACAATCACAAATCTGAAGAATGCCTGGCTGAGCTGTCGATTGCAACGACCGGACATCTCCGAGGAAGTTGGGAGGAGGAGAGGAGAAAGAGGAAAGAAGGGGTCTGATATTAAATGCCACCCCATTGCCACACATGTTAGGACCCTCCCTCAACTCCGCTGCCCAGGACGGGTAATTCGTATGGGCGATCCTGGACATCCTGAGCCCAAAAACGTGTTCATGTCTTGGGGGCGCATTTTTTACCTCCGCCACCTTCCGCCAGCCTCTCGCTGGCTTCCGCTGGCGGAGGCGGCCTCGTTTTACCTCCGCCGACCTTCCGCCGACCTTCCGCCGCCTTCCGCAGCGGAAGAGATGACAACTCCCTCGATCCCCGGAAGCAAGACCCTTTTTGGAACGCCCCATGTGCCGCCAAATCTTACCTTCCCCACGCCACGTCGGCCGGGCAAAAATCGAACGGTCGACACATGAACGGGTTTCCCAGAGGCGGGCGGCGGCCACCGAGGTGTGGGTTCAAGAGACATCGCAGGCGGGTGACAGGCCAACGGGTCTCCCGAGGTCGGCGGCGCCCCCCAGGGTGGGTCGCTTCGTAAATCAGCACAGGCTCCCCGATGCATCTTCGCTAGAGAGGACGACTCGAGGCGACAGAGACGACGACGAACTGCAGAAAAAATGAGCCCTGTGAGCCCTGCCCTCCCTCCCGCGAGTGAGGAGAACCGTATTGGAATCCCGGTGGCCCTCTGGGCGACACAATGTCTTCCTTTCCTCTTCCGCAACCCCGTCGTCCCCATTCGCGGAAGGGCTTATCACTGTTCCCTATTAGTTCATGTACATTCGCCTCCCCCACCTGGCCAGCTGCCACCCGGAACCATGCCAACACCATGAGGGCCATCGCACCCCACCATCCCTGTCAAAAAACAATACAACACGCACTCTGCCTCCACATTTGGAGCATGCGCGGCCAACCCGATGCGCCCCCTCCCCCCCCCACCATCCCTGTCAAAAACAATACAAGGTACACTTTGGGTCAAAGTCTTGAGCCATGTTCGTGAGGCCCGCGAGCAATTTTTATTGTTTTTGACAGGGACGGCGGGGGTGTCAGCAAATTCCCTGCTGTGCGCAGGGCTACCATCCCTGACTAACAACAATGCAACATGCACTTCGCGGCGAAATCTGGATCATGCGCGACAGCCCCGCGATCACTGTCAACTGATTTTTGACAGGGACGGCGGGGGTGGTGGCATCACACCGGAAGCAAGATAAAATACTCCATAACCCAAAACGAACGGGCGGCGGAGAGAATAATGAAAAACAGTTACTGGCGTTCCCAGAAAAATGGCGGCGGGACAGAAAAACTCATATCAATCAGTTCAATCATCCAACAGAAGACAACTGACAGCGAATCTTCTTGAACCAATTTCGATATACTCTGACGGGCTGCGCGCGCTCCCGGGCGCCCCCGACCAGCGCTCGCAGGCGCCGCAAAGCGCGGGCGCAGGCGCAGGCGCTCCCGCGCGCCTCCTGGCGTTCCCAGGCGTTCGCATGCGCTCCTAGGCGCTTCCCTCCCAGCACTCGTAAACGCTCGCAGGCGCGCGCAGGCGTTCCCAGGCGCTCGCATGCGCTCTCAGACGTCCCCCGAGGCACTCGCAAGCGCCCGCGAGCGCACGCGGGCGCCCCCAGGTGCCAGAGCTTGCAAACTCACGTGAGAAAAAAACGCGGGGAACAGCCAACAAAATGGCGGCGGCGAGCTCGTCGGCAAAAATCAATTCAAAATGCTGGCGACGGGGAAGGAGGGATCCCATTCAATACTGCAATGAACACCGAAGAAACCGGGGTGATGTGGTGGCGCGTGGCCTGCTGTGCGCAGGCCCACCAGACAGGATGAGGGGCATTGATTTTCGATAAGGATCGTGGGGGACGACATAATTCCCGATGTGCGCTGTCGCGTGCGCAGGCGCACCTGACGCACTGTGCACGTGCCCCGAACGTGGCGCACCTGGCGCGGCTGGAATGTGCGGCACACCTGGCGCACTCGAAACACGTGGAAAAGGGTCCGGTTTTGGGGGAGGGGTTCCCGGCAGCCCGGGGAATCCGACATCCGCTCGGGGGGGGCCCTGTCCAGTCCCTGGCCCTTTGGAAATATGTACATGCGCAAATCGTGCAAATCTTGAAGATGTTCTGGCCGCGCATTTCCCGAAATCGCACGGACACCGTAAGATTTCGCCAATTTCGCCCACAACCCGCATTCTCATCTCACCACGCGGTGCGTCCGCGATGATTCAACATGCGCCAAACGCACGAACCGGTATTAAATAAAACCGCGCGGGCCACACGCGCGTCAAACTACTGTTTTTCGCAGCGCTTGAAAGTAGAACCCTTCAAAAACAAGTGGAACATTCAAATTGGATTCCGCAAGGTGTCTTGAATTTCCGCGCGGGCACGCATCCCCACCATCGCTTTCACCGGCGCCACCGCAACACCGGCTTAATCGTCATCAATCGCTGCAATTTCCGCCATCATCAATCACCCCCCCTCTCATCACCGACACATCACCAGCACAAGGACATCATCATCGCCATCGTCGCCACCAGCATCAACGGCGTCGTCGGCCTTGCCGTCGTCCTCGTCATCATCGCATTGTTGCCGCCCTTGCCGGCGCCATCACGGCACCGCGCCCGCCCGAGCCACCGCACCGCGCTGAAGCGTCTGAGCGCCAGCGCGGCCTTTGGGGAGCGGCGGGGGGGGCCCATCGGTGAGCTCCATTGCGGCCGAAGCGGCTGCGCCAAACCAGCTGGCCGCTCTGCGCGCGAGCTTGTGCGCGCCAGCGCAGCCGTGCAGATGCACTGGCCAGTGCGAAGCAGTCACCGGAATCGTGGCTGCCTGCGGTGTGCAAAATAATTTGTAGGTGGGAAGTTCGGATGATTGCGCGGGCAGAAGAATTGCTGACTCAAAGGTCTGCAAGGCGGAGTGTACCACGCTGCTTATACCTCGTAGCTCACGCCAAACAAGTCGCCACGTAGCTTGCACTGCATACTGCGCATATCTCAGCTCGCACCACATATCTTCCCTTCTCAATGGGAGAACAAACTTTAACGCCATCCCCCCAGGACTCATCGATGCGCCCTGGCGTAGTGCACTTGCGATTCTGCTCTACGCTTCATTCTCCATGTGAACCCATAATATCAAAGGCCAACCTTCTTTGCCCCCCTTCAATCTTTTCAAAAGTATCAAGGGCGCGCCCTCGTCTACCTAAAAGCTCAGTCTCCTGTCCGCCACACTCGTTTAGTCGCATCCCCCGCGGCTATAGGCTCAGCACGGAGCGGGTCTCTTATCTCCCCCCTTGGGTGTACTGGTGTCGTTGGAAGCCCGCGAGGTTACTGGCTCCTAGGTAGCGCCCCCCGACGTGCCCCCGCCATTCGGAGCGGGCGTAGCCGCGCGGGAAAGACCATTGGGGCCCTCGGGCCCTTTCGGCTTTCGGGTCTGCCTCGTCGCCCGAAGCTGTCGATCATGCTGGAACAGATCACCGTTCCCTGCCCCGCTATTTCCGGCGGCGAATTCTGGTCTTGTTTCTTGGGCGCGCCGCCCTTCGCGAACAGGCTTGCGGAACCTTCTTTTGGCTTGGCTGGAGCAGCCGCCTTGAGATTGCCACGGACATCGGATTGTATCATCTCACTATTTCCACGGAGGCGTCTCCGTTCCATCATGGTTTTGATTTCCTGTTCACCCCATCGTAGGTTTGCTGTGTCGCCGCAGACCCATATTTGCAAAGAATTTCTTGAGCTGTTCGAGATGGCGCGCCCGAAACACAAGCCACATCCTCGCCGGGGTCTGGCATCTGGCATCTGGCTCAACCTGTCCTTCCGAGCGTCGAAACGGACCTACTCTGCTCGGCCTTGCCCTTCGACCCAACTGTCTCGAGCGTGAGCAGGTCATGGAACGAATGCGCAGACTTGTTGTCAGATCTCACCGATGCGCATTCGACGATGATTCGCGCGACTTCTCTTCCACGAAGAAATAGCGCTTCCCCCTGGTAGCGGATCTCATCTACTCTGCTTATTTCACCCGGGAGCTGTCTCATCGTCCCGCCCGTCGATTAGGGGTTCTTCGAAATCCCACTCTTTCGCATGATCAGACCAGAGGAACAACCGCGAAGTCCAGAGTGGAGAATCTGCCAGGGTTCTCTAGAATCGCTCGCGGGAGCGTTGATGCCCGGCACCTGCTGGAACCACTTCGGCGCTGCATCGGTCTCGCATGTTGCAGCGGCCGCGAGTCGGCGCGCTGCCCCGGGCAATTCGGTCACTGGGGCGGCGCCCGGAATGTCTGGGAGGTTAACTTTCGATCCTTCATTGTTGCCGGGGCCTCTCTCTCAGCCCTTCCCCGATAAGGGGGGGCGATCCGACGTCGCCGTCGCCGGGGGGGCCGCGACCTCCCGGCGGCCCGCCTCCGCCCGGCGGCCTATTTCCGCCGGGACGTCCGGCTGGCCCGCCCCCAAGGGCCACCCGGGCCGCCGCGGGGTCATCGCCGCCAGGCCCGTCGCTTCCCGGAGGGCCACCAAGCCCTCCGGGCCCCGGATTCTCCGACGCGGCTGGACTGAGGGGGCCGACCAACGGGCGCGAACGCGCCAGCATCAGAGAGATCTCCCCCTCCCCCCGTCGCCTCCGCCCGGACCGAGGTCTCCGCCTGGCCCGCCGACCCCCGCCGCGGGTCGCGGGAGTTTGCCGGGCTTCGCGGAAGCTGTCTCTCTCCCCGCACGGTTCGCGCGCGCATGTTTTGATTCTTCGAGCAGCAAAGTTTCCGGCAATGCTGAAACGCGCGCTTCGGGCGCAGCGGCTTCGGCCCTCGAGGCATGGATTCTCCTTCTTCCAGGGGGCGAAGTTCGGTTTCCATCATGTGAGCTTGTTCCCCATATCTTTTCTTCTTCGCGGCGGCGCTGTTTCTCTCGGCCGCTTCTTCTCTGCGCCTCGCCGCCGTGGCCTCGGCCCTGCCGCTCCCTCGCGGGATATCTCTCGTTCTTGGATCTCGTTCTGGATCTCGCTCTTCATTGCGTAGCGTGTCATCTCGAAGATTTCCATTCGTGACTTCGCATCAAAAACATTCTACTTTTTCTTTTCAGCCACCACTCGCGCCTCCTGCGCAAACCAACGGCGCCAATCGCCCTCTCTTTCTTGCGACATTCCTCTTCCGCTTCCTCGATCGAACGCGCCGCTGCGATCTTCTTCAAATTTCAAGTCGGCGCAGGGGCGACGTCTACTAGCCTCGAAATTGGAGCGGCCGTCGCAGCGCGGTTTGTCGCAGAGACGGCAATCCGCGCGCGGGACCTGTTGGCGCTTCCGCCAGGAGTCGCCGTTGCCCCTCCGCCCCGCGAAGAAGCGGTTCTCGCGCAGGCACGCCGCGCTACGGTCGACGTCGCTGAAGCCGGGCGGGCGCGATTCGCACTTGCAGCCAAAGATAACTGACCCCGCAGGTTGACAATCTGCGTCGCGCCGGCTCGGTCCGTTCCTTGTTCGGCCATCATTTCACCCCTCCGGGTCTGAACCATGCGCTCGGCCTCGAGCCTCGCGGCTCGCGGCCGCGGCGCCCGATAGATCGCCTCTTCGGCTCTGGCGCGGGCCATCTCGACGAGTCGGGCGGCCCGCTCGGCTTCGCATTTGCAGCGCGCGGAGGCGCCCCGCTCTGGTGCGCGCCATTGCTGTTCTATCATGCGTTTCTTCATCTCGCGATCCCCGTCGGCCTCGGCCCGGGCGTTCCCGGCCCCTGTCTGCGCCCTGCCCTCGGCAACCTCTCGCCGAAATCTCATTCAAGCGTTCTCCGCTGCCTCGGCGTGAGATGCTCCAGACTGATGCGCTCGGAGCTCATTGTTCTCCTCTCACCATTAGAAAAGTGGCAGTGGCCTTCTTTCGCCGGGCCACCTGCCATTCCGAGTTTCGCAGCGCCAAGCAGCTGCGATTGACGGGTGAACGCGTCCGCCGCGTCGGAAATGAACGCTGCAACGCGTGCGCGAGCAGCCCTGGCGCGCGCGCGAGCTCGGAGCAGCTCCTCGACTGGCCCTGGCACGGATATCCCGCCGCATTCCCGCGTCGGGGCGCGGGCAGCCAGCGGGCTTTCTGCGCGGGGGCCATCCCGGGATTTGAAGTGCTCGGTCAAGCGGGCCCGCTGGGTTGTGGCCTGGTCCGCCATGAATCATTCCGATCGCTCCGGGTTCGGGGCGATCGGGCCATGTCCGAAATCTGACGAGATCTCACGCGAGATGCTCGACAAATCCGTCTTCTGCCACAGCTTCCTGAGAGGGGTAGTCCGAGCACCTTCCCCAAGCTCTCTATCGTGTTCTGGCTGAGCGGATCTCCCCTTGCGGGTACGAGGGGTCGGCGGCTGATCGTGCTCATCCTGGCGAGTGTGACGGCGCCGGCCTGCGTCCCTGTGCCGCGCTTGCGACGTCTTCGGTCTCGTCGCCCCCCCTTCCTCTCCTCGGGCGCTGAAGCCTTCCCGAGAATCGCTGCCCCATGCGCCGTCGATAGCTGGGGGGGGCGACTCACTGTATCCGGGAAGCGCGGTCGGGAACGCTTCTGAGATAAGCTGTCGATGAATACCAACTGTTCTCGTGGGCCCTTCCGCGCATGGCGGGATCTTGACGCGTTGAGAATCGCTGCCGTCGCATGCAGGTTGATCATCGCCGCGTCGGCAAAAGGCCTGCCGATCGATCTCTGGAGACATCATATTCTTCCACGTACGCGTGGGGGATACTGGTGGCGACGAGGCGACTTGGACACGACCCTCTGCCCCCTCTTCGTCTAGAACTTCTTGGACGCATGGATTGGGGCAGTCAACCTCCGCGGGGTTTTCCTCAGGGAGGTCGGCCCCGTGCGCAATGATCTATGCCCCTGGACTTGTCCAAGCATCATCTGGACGCGCGATCGCATGGGCGCCTCGTATCGTAGCTCATGTAACGAATTGGTCTTGGTCCTGGTCCTATGACTTCTCGGTTATCCTGGCGCTGGTCGGGAGATTGATGATCCCCGTGGACCGTGATCACGCTAACGCGGGGGCCCTCCCTCATCGTTCAGGTTCAAGTCTGCATCGCTGACTTCTTTTGTCGGGAATAGAACTCTGACGGAACTTGTCGACACTTGCTTATATTTGCCAGGTCGTGCAAACTCTCGCCCGGCATTGCGTTCCCGCTGCCAGCTGCATTGCGCCTGCGATGGAGGCTGTCATCTGGGACAAAGTAGGAGACATCATGTTGCTTGCTTCGGCCGATCCTATGTTTCTTCTTCGAGGTTCTACATTATCTGCACAACCACCCGACCAATTTTCTCCTAGCTCAGGGGGCCTCTTCGAGAGGACCTTGTGCATGATATGCCCCGTCGTGTTGATCGACGACATGGCGGCGATGTGTGCGAGCGCGGGCGCGATCTTTTCCGACTACAGAGGCGCAGCGCGCGCTCTAAAGTCAGGTTCGCCTACCACCCTCTTTGAGGTGTAAAGTCAGGTTCGCCTACCACCTTCTTTGAGGTGTAAAAGATTGCGATGGGCGCGGGCTCTAAAATCAGTCGCGCGATGGGCGCGGGTTCTAAAGTCAGGTTCGCCTACCACCTTCTTTGAAGTGTAAGAAACTTGGACCAAACGCCCGCAGCGGCAGGCGGGCGGGTGTGACGCAGGCTGGAGTGAACGGTATCGATTATCCCTCCGCATCCTATCCTCCGACGTCTGGTTCGAGCCAGCGCTTGTGCCTTTCCCCGTCTGCCGACACCCTGCACGGGCTAGCCTCAGCGCTGTCAGAACAGGCGCCGCCAAGCGAGCGCGCCTGGTACACTCGTGCACCGCCTCTGTCTGCCGCCACCTGCTCCCCGAGCTTGGCCGGTGCAGTCTCGAGATCGGGACACAGTGCTGCGAAGGTCACAATCACAATCGCAATCTGGAAAAACGCCAAAACTTTGAGACCCGACACGCCCTATCTGCCTTCCCCTTCCCTCCTCCGCCCCCCAGCGCTCCTCTACAAAAGCACCCATGGTCGCTTGAGTCCGGTACCCTTTCTTCTCGGAGTTGAAGAACGTCTCCTCATCGTCCGAGTCGTCCCCATAGTCGACCTTCCAGGCGCTCTCCGCGTCAGTGTGGATGGGCCTCGTGCTCCTCTTTGGCTGGTTGGCCGCGGCCGTTATTGCCGCCCGCATCGCCTGGGGAACAGAAATGCGGCGGGACCGTGTCGTTACAACTGCGGTGTTGGTTTCCGACACCTCGTGGATCGTTCAGCCTCGAACGGTCGGCGGCTTCTGGATCGCCAGATCGTTCCATATTGGCCGACTCTGGGCCTAAAACGCCCGAAACGTGGCTGCCGCCGCGTCGACACGACACGAACCTACCGTATACCAATAATTACCGCCACTCCTGGACCTCTCCGAGGGCGCGACATGACCAGGACTCCGAAGCGAACTAGGTCGTGGCGACGAGAGACTTCCCGGGAGGCCCACAGGACAAAATACAAGGGAGTGGCATCGGCACTGGCATGCTTTCCTCACCCGATCGCCGCAGAGACCGCCGACGGCTTGCTCTGCTTCTTCGGCGCCGCCGCGACCTCGGAGGGTGCCGACCACGCACTTGTACCGATCCCGGCCCGGTTCTTCCTGGGCCAAGGGGTCGGGGTATACGCCCTCCTGACTCCTGGCTTGGTCAGGAAGGCATATACACCGATCCTGGGTCCAGGATCGGTGTCGGTGGATACGGTATCCACCGACAATTATCGGATGCCTGGGTATCCAGTATGGGCATCGTCGGATCGAAAGGGCAAATCGTCGGCTCGAGAGAAACACATCGACGGACGTCTGGGCATCCAGGACGTCGGATCGAGAAAAGCAAATCGTCGGATGTCTGGGTCTCCAGAATACCCCGACATCCGACGACTTGCGCTTCTCTGTCCGCGGCCCCAGAGCTCTAGACCCCGCCCCTGCGGGGAAGTCTCTCGCCCCGGATCCATCCTCTTGGCCCCGCGGGGAGCGAAAACCACCCACGGGAAGCCGACGCGAGAGATCACTTCCTCACCCTCTCACGCCTCCTCCTCCTTCTCCTCATCCGCCTCCTCCTGCTCCTGCTTCTCCTCCTCCTCCTGCTCCTCCTCCTCCTCCTTATAATCCTGTTTTTTTTTGGGGGGGTGCAGCAACGCCGCGGCCTCTGTGCACAGTGCTTGCTCAACCAGTCCAGAGGCGCAACTGGCAGGCACTGAACCTGTACCTTACAGCAGCGGGATTAATTCGTCGATGTCGACGAACACACCCTTCTTATCAGGGTGCAGGCCTCTACGGAGCTTACGCATGTTCTTCACACCAGCCACCGTAGGAGGGGCGCACTTACGCCCAAGGCCTAACACAACTCCACCGCTGCTATACAACTTGCACGACATGCAAAGGAACAGGTGAGAATTATCAGTGCATGGGAACGCGATCACCCTATGCCCGAGACGCTCCAGAACACACCTGTCGAGCCTGCTGCGGCCCGCACACTCCGAACCGCCACACGGCCAGGAAGAAGCTCTGGAGCCTCGCAAACACACACGGCACCTCCAAAAACTTCCTTGGCGTTCCCAATCGTGCTCAAGCGTGAGCCGAGACGAACTCGGTGGCTTTGGCGGCTGGGCTCGCACTAAGCCACGGAACTCGACTTTGGGCCAGAGCGGGAGCAACGCTGCTCCGCCCATCAGCACGGCCCTCGCAATCGCTAGCGTGCGACTTAAATCCTCAGCCTCCGTCGGCGTCATGGTCGGGTGGCGCCTAGCACCCTCCTTCGCCGCGACGTCGGCATACGCATTACCCAACCTCCGAAAGCGCTCCTCCGCCGACAAACCCTCATCCTCCACATCTTTGTGGGCCGCCACTTTGTGGAAGCCCTCGCAGAAGCGGCCAAAATGGTGGCGAGCTTGAATGACAAAGCCCGCATACTGTCGGGCTGGGCCTATAGCCTCAGCGCCTCCAAGATTCTGCAGCAGCACCACGCTAGCACAATCTGAGTAGCACTGAGCTGGGCCCTCTGTATACAACGCCGTCCAGGCAAGGGCCCCGAATTCAGCAGCCTGGGGGGTCTGAGGCCAAGGAGCCCAGAGGGGGCCTTTGATAACCCCAAGCATCTCCCCAGACTCCGAGACCATGACAACAGACCACCCCGCCCTAGACAGCTCTCTAACCTGATGCCTAGTACAGGACCCATCCATGAAAATGTGCCCCCAGACGCCGTCCCTGGGAACGATGGAGGGGGGCGAGCCTGGCCTGGCAGGATCAGGGGGCAGGTCCGCAGACCACTCCACCGTGACACCGTCGGGCGAGATAGCAGGCTTGGGAGCCCAATCCCCAGGATGTCTAAACGCACCATGAAGCCGCAGAACTCTAACCTCGGGGTCGTTCTCTGGCACCTCAAGCGCCGCATGCTGCATCCACTTCGGCACGTGCTCGTCCCGCTCGGCCTGCGCGCACGGGCACGCCCAGAGGCGGTGAAACAGGGTGTCCTTGGCGCCGCAGCCCAGCGGGCACAAGCTGGAGATGGGATCGCCTAGGTCAGCGGCGTCGCCTGCAGTCCAACAGGCATTGGTGGCAAGAGCACGGATCATACCCTTCTGAACCCCAGGAATTTTATTGGAAGCGAGAAGCCTCTTCGGAACGTCCCAGCAGAGACGGAAACCAGCCCGAAACTTGTCCCCCGACTCCCGCTCGAGACTTCTAAAAACCGCCTCCTTGCAACAAAGCTTCGCCAGCTTGGGCGGCGACAACGTGAGAGAAATCTCGCGACCGAAATCGTCAACGAGGGTGGTGAAATTGGGCATGGTCCACCCAAGCCTGTACAGTGACATGCTCAGCCCCGAGATGGGTCCCGAAACTTTGGCCCAGGTCCAGTCCTCCTTATCGAAAACAGAACTCCAACCAGCCCGAAGTTCAGCCCAACTCAAGGCCCACTCAAAGGCCCTAGTCTGACGAATCCACACCTCCTTGGCCCAGCGAATGATAGGGGCACAGCTGGCCCTCCACGTGGGGTCCCCCTCTAAAAGACACAAAACCGAAAGGGACCTTCCCTGGGCAGAAGGTTTCACGCACGTCATGGCCATGCGTCGTAGCGTCAGCAGCTCGCGGTCAGAGACCCCGTGCACGTCCGACCCGTAGACCGCCCCCGCTAAGGGACCCGAAGCGAAAACCTTGACCACCTTGCGGCCCAGCGTGGGGCCCAACTTCCCGAGACGACGAGCTTTCCTGAGAGCCGCAGCAACCCTCTGCTTGACTTTGGCACTCCTGTTCTTTCCAGGAGCTCTGACCGCTCTGCCAGCTGTGTAATCCACACCTAAGTTGGTCACGCGAGTGCAGACTGGATCGCCGACTAAGCCCCCGAGCTCGGCAAATAGCGCAGCCGAAACGTGCTTGCTGCTGGAGACCATGCCAACCTTATCCATAGCCAGCTTGCACTTGGGCGTCGACGTGATCGCAGAGTGCAGAGCTCTGGCGCCTGAAACTAGATGCTTCAAAACAATGCTGGGCTTGCCATTCGCGCTGAAGCTTAAATCGTCAACGTGCACATCAAAACCAGGTCCCCTCGGGATGGAGTCGAAAGCCTCCAAAGCAAACGCCCTAATGAGGCTCGTCGCGAAGGTGCACCCCGCGACGACCCCTTTTAGGGCGAAGAAGGGGCCGTCGACGATTCCCCCCAAGGTCATGAATCTCGCGCACGAGTAGGCGTGAATGGCAAGGCGCGCGATGCCTAGGGGAAACTGGTGCTGCTTGCACTTAGCCCAGAGAAAGTCGAGGTCGATATGTTCGTAGTACTTACGCAGGTCCCAAAACATAGAGGCACTAGTCTGACCTCTGGCCGTCCCCGACTCCGCTCTGAAAGCCTGCCTCCAGACAACGCCCCCCGCCCCACGATGGGCCCCCGCCGCCCAGTAAGGGCGGCTGTGCGGGAGCTCCCAACGGAGAGCTTCAAATCGGCGGCATCTGCCCCAGACGCGATACCAACTCGAGAAGATCCCAATGGGTCGGAAACCCCCACAAGGCTTGGCCAACAAAGCGACCAGCACCCAAGAGAGCTGGACAGGCAGGGACCCCGTGGCCTCCATGACCGAGAACCAAAGAGACATGGCCATCAGAGCCTCGTCAGAGAGCAGGCTGAAAATGACGGCAGTGGAAGCCGTCCAAGCTGACAGCAGAAGCGAGCCGATATTTCTTAGACATGGCCCTGATGATGTCGGGCTCGAGAGGGGGAGGGCATGGCAATAAATCCTTACCGCGCAGGCCCTGGCCACCACCGTCCCCCCAGATGGAGACGAACTTGGCCGATTCAGCCTTGAGCAAGCTCATGGGATCTGACACCACGACGCCCGAGCGGGAGAGAGTCGTGGTGGGGGCCCAGGCAACAGGGTCCCGAATAGCCTTCTGCGCATTGCGCGACCCTTTCTCGAGCCCCTGGCGCACCCATTCATTCCAAGCCTTCCGAGAAGACTTGGCCACGGATGCCTTAGCAGTAGCGCAAGCTTCAGAAACAACGCCGATGTGCCGATCGAGGTCGGCGGCCAGCTCAGGATCATCCACCGAGCTAAGCAAGCTGCGCGCTAAGCCAGCCGCAGTGCGAAACAGACGCGAATAGGCTGAGTTCTCCGCCACAGCCACCGTCGTCGGCGGCCCCGCGAGCGCCGCCAGCACCTGACGGCCTCCCTCTAGAAGGCCCTCAGGGCCCAAGTAGCACCTGGAAGCGCGAAGTTGACTGCTCAGCCAAAGCACCGACCTGAGGGCAGGGTCAGGCTCACGGCCACCTTCCTTTACAATGCCTTTCCAAAACATCTGCGGCCGCTTCGCTCTGGCTCCCTTGGGAACCTTCACCCCCAAGATAGCGCTGAGGTCACGCTCGGCCGCGTTGGCCCACGCACGGTGCCCAGGGGCCAGCAAAGCACGAGCACGATCGCCACCGCCCTCCTGCGCAGCCCGATAAGCCTCACGCGCCAGCCCAAGAGGGACCTCCCACGACCCAGGCTCAGGCTGCGGGCCAACCGGCGGCACCACAGGAAGGTCAGGCGGTCTTCGGAAGGCGAGAGCCTTGAGATCACCGACAGACGCATGAAAGCGCAAAGACACGGGCCTGCGAGGGTGGATGGGCGAGTCCCCTTGCACATAGATCTTCTTGAGGCCGAGGGAAAGGGCATGGGGGACAACGAAAAAATCAAAGCGCTCGGGGGGGCCAACGCTAGGGAAATGGGTATGCCCTTGGGAACTGACTATCACCCCATTGGTCTTCGCCTGGAAGCCCGAAGCCGCCGAGGTCTCTGGGGGGAAATTCCAGTCGGCCCCTATGATGAACTCACACTCTAAGCCCCCTATGCACTCCCCCACAGATTTTAGGATTGACAAGTTGGCCTCTGACAGACCTTCGCTGTGGCAGAGGTACAGGGAGAGGACGCAGAAGGTGGCGCACCCTGGCACATGCACCATGGCACATATCGCGCGGCCCTCGGCCAGCACGGTCCTGTCCTGGTGCTCAAACATGCCGAGCGCGTCACGCGCGAAGACGCCGACCCCAGAGGAGGTGCCCCCACCTTCGCCAACAATACCTGGG